CAATTTTACCCAATATAGCAATAAGTATTTTTAAAGGTTTTCTTTCAAGAGCATATAAAATATGTTCAAAACAAAATATTCAGAATGAAGTTGAGTTTCTTATTAATGTGTTTTTCCAAAATGGACATTCATACAAACAATTTTCAGATATCGCTAAAAATTATAAACTATCACATAAAAATGCAATAAACCAGCAAATAGACCCTGGAAAAATTATCATACTACCATGGATTCCGAAATTAAGCATTATACTTAAAAGAGAGTTTCGTAGAGTAGGTATTAAAACCGTTTTTTGCTGTAATAATTCTTTACTTAATATTTTATGTCGCAATAAATCAACATTGTATCCAAACAGGTATCCTGTTGTTTATCAGTTAGATTGTTCATGTGGTGCGAGTTATATCGGCAAAACTATATAAAAAATTTCTGCACGTGTTAATGAACACGAAAGAAACATAGCTAAAAGTAATTGGGACGCATCAGGAATAGTTGAACACGCCCAACATTGTCGTGGTAATTAACTTTAGTAAACCAAAAATTATTTCTATTACTCCTAATAACTATACGCGTAAAATTCGAGAAGCAATTGAAATACAACGCAGTGCTCTAAATCACAAGAGTATATCTTGTATATCGCGATATGTATAAGACTATATTGAGTATATCGCGACAATGGTAACTTATTGATGCCACGCCATTGAAGAACACTTTTTGTTAAACTTAAGTCTGAATCTGCAACGCTGCAATGATGTTTTTAATCAATCAAATAAATATATATATATATATATATATATATATATATATATATATATATATATATATATATATATATATATATATATATATATATATATATATATATATATATATATATATATATATATATATATATATATATATATATATATATATATATATAGGGAGTGTAACATAATTCGAGTGGTTTTCTAATGAGTTACTAGTTTTTTTTTGGATCGTAAATATATGTTTATTCATTTGGAAGCTACTGTCATTGCTCATCTTTTTCAGTATATGTCATTTGGTTAAAGCATAAACAACAATTTTTTATTTATTTATTTGAAAATGTAAAACTTTGTGCCAGAATCATTGGAAGTCACTCGAGCAGCCATTTCAAAACGGTTAAAAGCATTGGGATTCATCCAAAAGCTTGGAAATCGGGTGCCGCACGAATTGAAGCCGAGAGACGTTAAAAGGCGATTATGCATGTCACAAAAACTGCTTGAACGCCATCAATGGAAGTCGTTTTTGCATTGGATTGTTACTGGTGATGAAAAATGGGTTCACTACAATAACCCTAAGCGCAAGAAATCGTATGTGAAGGCTGGCCAACCATAAACATCAACGGCGAAGCCAAATATTCATGGTGTAAAGGTAATGCTCTGTATTTTTTAGAATCAGAAGGAAGTGCTCTATTATGAGCTGTTGAAATTGAGCCAGACAATTACAGGGGGTTTCTACAAAACACAATTAATGCGTTTGAAAAAAGAAATTGTGGAAAAACGTCCAGAATATGTAACCAGACAGGAGGCCATAATTATCCACCATGACAATGCTCGAGCTCAAGTTGCAAGACCGGTTAAAAATTATTTAGAAAACTCCGGCTGGGAAACAGGAATCTCACCCGCGTTATAGCCCCATTTGAATACTACTTGTTCCGATCGATACAGAATGCCCTCACCGGAACACGCTTCACTTTATTCGATGGTATCAAAAATTGAATCAAGGATTGAATCGTTCTTGGCCGCCAAGCCGGAGAATTTCTTTTGGAATGGAATCAACAACCTGCCAGAACAATGGGCAAATAACGTAGCTTCCAATAGACAATACTTTGAACATTGAATGTATAACTATTTTTTCACAATAAAACCTCAAGTTTCGAAAAAAAACCGCACGAACTAAGTTACATTCCTAATATATATATATATATATATATATATATATATATATATATATATATATATATATATATATATATATATATATATATATATATATATATATATATATATATATATATATATATATATATATATATATATATATATATATATATATATATATATATATATATATATATATATATATATAAATATATATATATATATATATATATATTTATATAAATAAATATATATATATATATATATATATATATATATATATTTATATATATATTTCATATATGTATATATATGAAATATATAACTTCCAGACATGAAGTAAACTCCAAAAAATTGAATGTTTATTCTTATATCAAATAAGAATGCTTTGCAAAAATTTGTAATTTTTGGACCGTGGGAACAATTTGTAATTTTTGGACCGTGGGAACAAAAAAGCCCTAAAATTTAAACTCGCCTGCCCCAAACGTAAGAGCAACAAGCTGATAAAATAATTTTTATACTATTTTTAACTAAATCTATATTCACTGATAAATTCACACAAAAATATTTTAGTGTTCAAAAACTATGACCATAAAGAGTTTAAGCACCCCCCCCCCTCCTTAAATTTTAGCTGGTTGCAAATTTTATAAGGCTATAATTATTGAACAATCAGAGATTGTTGTGTGAGTTTTTAAATTTACCAATGTATATAAACTTGGTTGAGAAAAGTTAAAAAAAAGTTTATCAACTTGTTACAGAGAGAGAAAGAGAATGACCAACTTAAATTACTTGATACATGTATATGGCATAATCATAAAAACATACACATTTACTTTTAGACACTCATCACCATTTTATAATTAAATTTTCATGGTGTTTTTTTGCACTTTACTTTAGAATGAAAAAAAATAATAAATTGAAGAACAAAGAAGCAAACGAAAAAAACACTGTTTATGGAATGATGAATTGAAATATCAGCAATTAAAGCTTCAAAAATGGAGTTTCACAGCGAGCAGCATGTAGAGTTTTTTACATTCTAAGATGTTCGCTACAAGTTTGACTCTCTGGAGTAAGAGGAATGAGAGCCTGGACATCCGACTATTTTAGATGAAGAAGAAGAAAAAAAATTAATTGATTTTGCATATAATTATACAGCCTTAGGAATCGGATGGCAATTTCTAAAGTATGCTTAAAATTTGGTTTTAAAACATAAAAAGCTTTCATGAATGGAACTCCTATAGAAAAGTAGTGGCGTGGGATCTGCAAAAGACACAATGATTTAGCTTGACGTCAACCTGAAGGTACAGCAGCTATTAGACATCAGTCTATAAATATTTGTAAAGTGTCGAAATGTTTTTCTATTCTTAAAAATGTGTTAATGGAAAATAACCAACTTTAGAAACCGCAAAACATTTGGAATATGGATGAGACTGAGATGTAGATTAATTATCATCCTGGAAAAATAGTTGATAAAGAAAGAGTTAAGTATCTACATTTTTTTCAATCAGTTAACCAGGAAACAATAGGAGTAACAGCTTGTGTCAATGCAATGGGTAACTCTTTTCGTGCGTATTTTATATTTAAAGGAAAAACTACTAAGACTCTCTCAAGTTTTTTAATTTAAAAATGCCCCAGAAGAAGGTTCATGGAGTGTTTCAGACAATGGTTGGACAAAGCAATGCATTGCATTTCTATGGTTTAGAAAGACATTTCTTGCCGGAAAATTTGGATTTTAATAAATGTATATGAATTTGTTTACTCTTGCAATATAAAAAAACTCTCGTTTTTTAACTAAGGTTTATTTTTTTGGTTTTTACAGAAACTTCATTGCCTTTGATCCGATTGCCCTAAATGGGGGAAACAAGCACTGGGATCCTTACATATATTTTGGGTTTTTATTAATGTGTATGAACTTGTTTACTCTGACAAAACGAAAATGCACTTGTTCTTTGACTTTAGTTAATTTTTATTACTTTACAGAGCCTTAATTGTTCCCGGCCCAATCGCCTTGGCTCGAGAAATGGGAGAAATAAACCCTTGGATTTTTACGTATTTTCTTGGTATTTATAAATGTAAATGAATTTGTTCACTCTGACAGTTTCAAAAAACTCTTTTTCTTTATCTAAAGTTAATTTTTACGGTTTTAACAAAGCTTTAATAACTTTTGATCCAATTGTCCCAAATAGGGCAAACAAGCAGAGAGATACTTACCTAGGGCCCCTAATGTAAAAATAATAATTTGTAGAACTGAATGCTTTGATAATTTAGTATAAAATAAACAATAAAAATAATTTAGCATTAGAACTTCAATGAAACTCTTTCTCATTGATGGCATTTAAAAAATAAACTTATTATCAAAATTTGGTGCCGTTCATCCTTAAGGAAAACTCAACAAATCTTGACGCAAAATAGGCTTTATTAAGCCCAACATAAATTGTCATAATTTGGGAACCAGTTATCTAAAGTTAAAAAACGAACTCATTTTGAAAATGCTTCATTATCCGCGTATTTTGGTATTAATTATAGCCAGATATAAAGATAATAGTAAAATTGTGTGAAGTGCCTAAAGAAGTATGGATTATTCATTCTTAATGAGTGTATATACTATCTGAAAAATAATTCAAATCAACAATTTACATGTTTAAAAAAAAAAATTGGTAATAGTTAAAATTTTTTAGATAAAAAATTTTTTTAAATAATTTCTTTAAAAGCTATATTGCGACAATAGCGTCATTTTTATGACCCAATCCTTCAGCGTTACGGAATCAGTGAAACAGTGACATTGTTAATTATATATTAGATACTAATTTAATTTAGTATATAATCTAAATGTAAAATTAAAAGCAATGTCAACTTCAACATCAAATGAAATATCAAATTAATTGCTGCAGAGTTGATAACAAAAGTAATAACCAAAAATTAAACCAACTAAAATTTATACCGATTTTTAAAAAAATGATCTAAGCATGGCAAAACTAATATTCAAAAATTTAAACAATTTCTATAAACAGTTTAAATAAGTTGGTCAAAACAATAAACAGCACATGGTGACAATCCCAGTCACTAAAAATAATATGAAAAATTCAAATACTAAAATACCTCTAGAGGAGTTCTTGCATACGATGTTCTAATGGAATTGCCTCTTTTACTCGCCATTTTTTTCCAAACTCCTTGCTCCAAATAGTTCAAGTAAAAGTACTGCTTTCGTAGAGCTTTGTCAATAATATAAAATTGTCCTAATGCTACCTTTGCTACATCAGGCATTTTTTCGATTAAAAGAACCATCAAAGCTGTTCCTACGTCATCAAAAATGCCAACTGGTGCTCCTTGTTCAATTAAAAATCTGCATGCCTGAGATCTCCCTACAAATATATATTTTAATTATTTTACAACTTATATATAAAAGAAGAGCATATTAAAAAAAAAAATGTCAATAATCTAAAGTTTCATAAAACAACTTTAAAAACTTAAAATAAAACAGTAAAAGAAAAAACAACTTTTAATAGACTAATGTTCTACTACTTCTAATAGACTACTGTTTCAATGTACTTGAGTAAAATAATTAGAAAAGGTAGTACCTGTTGATTAACTTAAACCGCCTGTCAACATTTAAATTTATATTCAATATAAATTTAATTCGTGACATCTTAATAATAAAATATTAAGATGTCACGAATCAAAAGTTTCACTGTTGCAAGTTTTTTTATATATATTTAAATATTTTGATTTCCTGATTTCAAAAACATTAGTAGCACAATCTATAATGTTAACATTTTAGAATATAGACACTTTTCTTAAATTTTAAAAAATTCATTATTTAGAGAAAAATTATATTTTTTTGATCATAAAGTAAATGATTTAACACAAGGAAGTTAATCAAAGAATGTTTTATTTAAAAAAAAAACTCATAACACGTTTCATTAAAGTAGAAACAAACTTTTTTTTCTTCAAATAGCATTGTTATTGTTTATATAATAAAATTGCGTTTTTTATATCAAGGAAGACTAAGTGTAAAATGTTGGGTGGTTACTGTTGGACATTGACACGTGAATGTCCAAAAACCTAACACAAAAGAAAAACAAAAAAATGTTTTTCCAAACCATTAACAATTTAAAGACAATTTTTTGTTAGAATGTTGTCATTATCAAAGGATACCTACAAACTGATAATATCGCGTCACGTTGGTTAGACAAAATTCTGACAGTTTTGCCAAAAATGGTTGTGGCTAAAATTCTCATATTTGGCTTAATTCTATTATTCTCATCAAGTTTTTTCTTTGTCTTCAATGGTTCATTTTCTTAGTTTTTTTAAACCTGCTCAACTATAAGTCTTGGTGACACATTAGTTAGGTTTTACAGAGAAATTTTAGACTTGATAAAAAACGGCTAATGATAATTAAAAGTTCTGTAAATTGGTAAATCATCAATACTTAATTAATGCAGAATAAAAAAATAGATCATCTAAAAATGAATCATCATCAAAACACCTAAGACAAAAATAGTAATAGTTTTAATTTTTTTTACTTTTTTTTTGTCTAAAATAGGAAAATTTTCTCATGCATCTTATTCGATTACCATTTAATAATTTTTTTTTTGTAAATTGTGTTACAATTCAGTTTTACAACATTCATCTATTTGATGTTTTGTCATGTGATGCGTAGTCTTCGATATATATTTTAACTGCCCAACTTTCCATTATGCTCAACTAGTCTCGCTCTACCCTAACCAAACCTTACTTAATAAACAAATTCAACAAACGAAAAAAATAAGTTTGGAAACAAATACCTAACCCTGAAACTTAGGAATGTAATGAAACAAAAGCTATACAAGTCAATAAGGAAACCACTGCACAACCATAGATAGACAAAAATGAAATTAAGAGGAAAACAAGTGAATAGATAAAATTATTTCACTTTTTTATCAGAGAAAACTAAGTGTGTTTAACTTAACCATATATTTTTCAACGACAAAAAAAGAGTACTTATAAGAACTCTTTTTTTTTACATACAGTACATATATGTACTATATTACATACATATATGTACTGAATTACATACATATATGTACTGAATTATTTGCGACCAGAGCCGGTGACGCGAAATAAAATAACTCCCCGAAAAGTAAACTCCCGGTTAAAACATTTTAACTCCCCGGTTAATCTATTTCGAAATAAATTAACTCCGGGAGTTACATTATTTTAAAACATGGCGAAATAAATTAACCGGGGGATTAAATATTTCTAACCCCCATCGTAATAAATTAACCCCTATTAATTCGCGTTTTAAATTATTTAGCTTATAATAAGTTCTACAAAATTGCGTAGGTAGTTTTTCTAATATATATTTTTAATATATCTTCAGTTAGCGTTGAATAAAATTATTTTGTAACTGTTTTCGTTTTGCTTAGTTTGTATATTGTTGTGAAAATAAAAAGGAGATCAAAATAATAATAATAATATTGCAGCAACTTCAGCGAACCTTTCTCTTGCAATAATGTTTGAGATTATAGTCTATAATCTCAAACATTATTGCAAGAGAAAGGTTCGCTATATGAACTCTATAATATTATTATAGAGTTTATATAGCGAACTAGTTAGCTATCATAGTATTTATATATATATATATATATATATATATATATATATATATATATATATATATATATATATATATATATATATATATATATATATATATATATATATATATATATATATATATATATATATATATATATATATATATATATATATATATATATATATATATATATATATATATATATATATATATATATATATATATATATATATATATATATATATATATATATATATATATATATATATATAGGTACGCGGAAATCGCGATTTACGGAACCGATTTTTATGCTTAAATTTTGGTTCTCGTTTTTTTAACTCTTTTTTAGGCAGCGTGAGGCAGACGTAGTTTTGTGAAGTTTCTTTTTAGAAAAATATATACACATAGATACTTTTTGGAAAGAAGAAAAGCTAATCTTGCTTTTTTAAATACTTTTATATATGGTTACTAAACTTTTTTATAGAATATTTTGCTCCTGAATATTAGGTTGATGTTCTCTCATAATTTTGTGGTCGAAGAAATGTAGAGTCCGCTTTTTTTATTATTAAAATAGTTTGTTTCATGCCTTTTTTATGCACATGCCAAATTTCAACGAAAAATAATTATAAGCAAATAGTTTAATTAGTGTTATACCAAGTATACCACTTTTTTTAGGTAGCCCTAGGCAAATGGTTTTTTGAGGTGGTTCCATTTAGAAACATATATAAACTTTGACAAATTTTGAAAAAAAGAAAGGTCAGGCTTGATTTTTATATAACTATTATGTATCGCTTCCATACTTTTTTATGGAGTATTTTGCTGAGAATTTTGCATGAAAATTTGGTTGGTGTTGTCACATGGATTTGTAGTCGAAGAAATGTAGAGTCCGCTTTTTTTATTATCAAAATAGTTTGTTTCATGCCTTTTCTATGCACATGCCAAATTTCAACGAAAAATAATTATAAGCAAATAGTTTAATTAGTGTTGGACGTTAGGTACCTAATTTCGGTTTTTCTGTTGTTTTTTTTTTTGGTAAGCGAAATCCGGGTGTCACCGAAACCGGATAAGGGGGCGATTCAAAAAAAAATCTTTTTTTGAATTATTTTGATTTATATTATTAGATTTAATTAGAAATGGAAAAAATTAACAAAACTGTTTTAGATGCCCTAACAGATAGTGAGTTCAATTTTTTTTATTCTTAGTAATAGTATTAATAACTATTTTCAAATCCGAAATTCTTCATTGTTTTTTATGTAACTTTATGTCAAATATAAAAAAAGATTAATGCTTTAAATTAAAACTGTTGGTATTCAATAGCAAGAGTTTTAATTTTTTAAAAACACATTTAATATTTTAAAAACTCTATGTATTTTTTTGTTAAGATTACACTAATGAAGTATACAATATACTTATTGTTATTTGGTTTATAATAGCCTATTAAACTTTTGAACTGATTAGTAGCATTTAACAATTTTATTAAGACATCATATATATATATACATAAGTATATTGTATACTTCATTAGTTTTAACAAAAAAAAAACTTCTAAGTGTTTTTAAGATATAACAGAAGATATTATATTTATTGTATTTTGTCATATTTGGTTTATATACTTATATACAATCCAAATATGACAAAAATTCTTTTGTCATTTATGATTTATCATTTTGATTTGGTGTTTAAATCATTATACAAGCATGTCTAATATTTATTTCTCGTTTAAATCCAACCAGGCTTTTTGTTGACTTTTTAAGATTTCGTAAGTATAAATCACATAAATTTTAAGTTTATTCATTAAAAAAACATTTAATCACAAAGAGAAAATAGTATACAATAAGTAAATGTTAATGAACATTTAAAATATCTTCCTAAATATAAAAACACTTAAAAAACTTAGGTTAACATTTTCTACTTATTGTATACTATCTTTTAAAGATAATCTTTATCTGTATTATATGTGTCACAGATAAAGATAATCTTTATCTGTGTTTACTGTTTACATAAGTTTATAACCATTGCTAATGTTAGCTTGTTGCTTATAAATATATTATCTTTATATTTTAATAGTTATATTTTTATTGTTTATATTTATTTTGTGAGTACAGTAATTGCACCTTAAGCAGAGCAGCTTTGATAATTGTTACATTAGTAACTTACTGTTGACAATTTTAAGTTATTGTGTACAATTTTTTTTTTCTTTAGTCGAATCTACACAGCCTACCACTGGTAAGTTTCTTTAAGTTTGTATATGTTAATGATTATAGAATTAGCGATTACTTTTTAATTTAGCGATTACTTTTTTTGTGAATAGATTTTAAAGATTACCAATTTCTAAGTCATTATTTGCAATATTTATTTTTATTACAAATTTTGAATTTTAGTTACATCTTCGTCTTCAACGAATGGTAAGTTCAACAACTATTATTTTTTAATATGTGTATATATTTTTGATGACTGAAATATATAATTTTTTATTAAATAATTTTTAACTTTAGTTCCTTCTACTTCTGCTATAAGTGGTATGTTTACAAATTTTTACTTTTCAATATGTTTAAGCATTTCTTGGCAATTCGGTATCTGTTTTAATTACAACTTTGATAACCTTTAGTTACATCTTCAGCGGCTATTATAAGTAGTAAGTTTAAAAACTATTATTTGCAATGTATACACCTCTACCTCTGTACATGTATACACCTCTCTTTATCAATTGCAAATTATTATAACACTTTTTTTTCATCTTTAGTTCCATGTGCACAACTTTCTACTGGTAAATTTATGATTTAGAAATGTTTCTGAATGGTTATTGAATTTATGTTCCTATTTATATACACTTTAATTCATTAGTATTGTGTTATCCCTCAAAGTGTGGTATAATGAAATTATTACTCTCATTAACATTTTTTTAAGCTATCATTGATTATATATGTTGTTCATATTATTTATTCATCCTATCACTTTCACTAATCATTGTTTTATATTACATTTTAAAGCAGAACAGCTTTAATGATTGTTACATCTGTAACTTACTGTTGAGAATTTCAAATTATTTTGTATACAATTTTTTTTTAACTATTTTTTGTTGAATCTACACAGACAATCACTGGTAAGTTTGTATGTGTTAATGATTATAGAGATAATTATCTAGTACTTTTTAATCTGTGGATAGATTTCAAAGATTACCAATTTCAAAGTCAGTATTTAATTTTTTAATTTTTTATTACAAATTTTGAATTTTTGGTTATATCTTCGCCTTCAAGGAATGGTAAGTTTAACAATTATTACTTTTTAATGTGTATATATTTTCGATGACTGCAATATGTATTTTTTATAAATAGTTTTTAACTTTAGTCCCTTCTACATCTGCTACAAGTGGTATGTTTGGTTTATGTATGAATGATTTATTTAGTTTCCTTCTTGGAATTTTAAACAATATCATTTACTAAAAGCCAAGACTTAAATTTATTGTATTTTGTATTTTGAAACTTTTTAAAATACAAGTTTTAAAATTAGTTTTATCTTCAGCCTATTTTTAGGGTGGATACTCCAACTTGCATTTTGTAATGTGGTAAGATTAGTAAAGTAGTGTCTCTTTAAATAAACATTTAAAAACATTAAAAAAAATTTTATTGACATTTTTTTCAAGTTTGAATGAGAAAGGAAGGAGGGCGTTGGGTGTAGCACACGCCCCTACCCGTACTAACATATAAAAATAATCTTGAATACTTGCTTCTCTTTTCCAATAAACTCAATTTAAAACCATTTTTCAAATATCTTTTAAAATTTTTTTTTTTAAGTTGGATACGACTGGGCAGGGAGGGGGGCGCGCGTTTGGCGTGACATGTCCCGTCCCTTATGTCAACTTATACACCACTTGTATATGCTGTAAAGTAAGAAAATTTAATTTAAACTTTTTCATACAAAATATAATCATTGTTTTTTAGGTTCAAATATTTATAAGAATGTAGCATTTCACTACGAGGATGTTAAAACGTAACGAAGACATCCACCCTTCAATCTAAAATAGACCACTAATATTTGGAAATGAAGTGGAAGCAAATTAGAACAATTTTTTGTGTATAAAGATGACATATTTTATCAGAAAAACACTCTTTCGTGTAAAAAACTTGTATTTTTCTAAGGGTACGAGGGTGTTCCGTACCCCCTCCGGTCCTCTAGACACATCTTTTATCTATAGAGTTATATAAACTTGTAGCCTACTTTTTCATCTATCTTTTGATACCAAGATATAGACATTTGGATGAGATTTGACAAAGTTATAACAATTTTAGTGAGAAAAAAAATAATTTTGGAACCAGTTTCTTCAATAAATCCATATATCGGAAATTTGCTACTAAAAACGCTATAACTTTTTATAGAATTGTCCGATTTTCATAATTTTTTCACCTTTAAAATACTGTATTTAAGGGCTTTCTAATGATGTATAATATTCTAGTATTTAATTAATTTAAAAAAATCAGTCCGCGTACCTAATATATATATATATATATATATATATATATATATATATATATATATATATATATATATATATATATATATATATATATATAAATTAGTAGAAAATCAATTGACAAAAAATTTAATTTTACAATGTGTTTCATCAATAAAGACTCATCAGAAATTTCTGATGAGTCTTTATTGATGAAACACAGTGTAAAATAAAATAAAAAATTTTTGTCAAGTGATTTTCTACTAGTTTATAATTGCTCTGTTCTTTTAATAACATTGAGCACTCTATTTTGTTGAATACATTTTTAAAATAGTTTAAACACACACACACACACACACACACACACACACACACACACACACACACACATATATGTATATATATATATATATATATATATATATATATATATATATATATATATATATATTTATATATATGTATATATATATATATATATTTATATATATGTATATATATAAATTAGTAAAAACACTTATCTAATTTTCCTAGACTGTCATAATTAGACAAGTGTTTATACTAATTTACTACTGCTCTGTTCTTTAAGAACATTGAGCACTCTATTTGTACAATACACTAGGTCAATTCCACGCTTAAATGAGTTATTTCAATAAAATAATTAAATAAATTTAATTATTTTAAATTATTTTTAAATTTAATTATTTTAATTAAATAAATTTGATTGTTTTAGCAAAGTATTCACTGGGTTACCTTATGTTTAAAAATTTTTAATTTTGATTAATAATGTTACTTGTGTGTTTTGTTTTTGTTTTAAATTTCAAATTATAGTCATGCCTCATACTTCCTATATAGATGGTAGCTAATCTACATTTTGATAAAAGTGTAAAATTGTCTCTGTAAGTAACAATAACTAAGTTGATTTTACATACATAAATAAGTAGTTATGTGATGATATTTAACATCAATAGTATTGTTGTTATATTAATATTTCTTCTTTTGTTTTAGTTAATAAAAAGTAATAATTCAATTGTTGTCATTTATCCTTCGAGTCCATAACAATTTTATTAACTTGTAATTCATTGTGTTACAAAGAACAAAAGGACAAAGCTCTACGACTAGCACAATTTGAATCACCCCTAAACACACCATCAAGTAACCAAGAATTTAAACATTGGTTTAAAACTTTTGAATATTTTTTAGATGTGTTACCTCAAGAAAACATTGACATACTCCTTTATCAGTGGTATAACTTATAATGAAATCCAATAACGACTTCTCAAAAATAGATCCATAAAATTAGAGGTTATGTTTGACAAAACTATTGTAATATCTTTCAAAGCAATATAACACTAACTCAACAGCTGCATCTATCTTAAAACAAACATTAGCAACTACTACTAGTTGATAAATCCAATTTTTCAAAAGTCTGACTGTAAACTAATAGCCTCAAAATCTCGCCTCTACAGTGCTGAAGACAGAAAATTTTTTAGCTCTGAAGTACAACGCCTTTACAAAGAAGGAATTATCGAACCTTCAACGTCACCATGGAGATCACAAGTCATTGTAACAAACAAGAGATCAAAAAAGTGCCTAGTCATAAACTATAGTCAAACTATCAATTGTTTTATGTCTTGATGTCTACCCTCTACCACAAGTAGTTGAACTTTTAAGCAAAATTTACAATCACCAATCCCAAATAAACAAGAATACCGTCTGTTTACTGCATTAGAAGCTGACAGAGGTTTACATCAGTTCATGTGTATGCCTTTTAGTGTGACAAATGGAGTAACTCAAAAGTAAGGAGTAATTTCATTGCTGATGAGATATTGAAAATCACAATTTTATTGCTGATGAGATATTGAAAGACTTTTGTTTATTTTGATAATTTGACAATCTGTGGAAAGATGCAAAAGAATAATGACTACAACCTTAAAATGCTTCCTTTTAGCTGGTAAAGCAAAGAATTTAACCTATAAGAACAAAAAATGTGAAAAAATCAAGACCACTACTAATGAAACTCCTCATTAAGGACTCTTTATGTATCAAAGATGTTCTGCTGATGGACATTCAATCCAATTATTGCTTGCACAACCTGGCAAGGTGTTATTAAAGAGACATCTTAAAAATTCTAAGTATAAATTTGATGTAGATGAGGTATTCCTAATGGAAGCAAACCTACAATATGCGCTTATTTAGCATGCTTACAGTCGTGAATCTACGGTTTCTATTCGTCACCTTGCACCACTAACTTAAGACACACATACAGTTAAATTACAGTTAAAAACGGTATCTAAGCTTATCGGAACAATCTACTGCACACCTGTTACAAGAACCAGATAAGACTGCACACTAGTTACAAAAACTAGATGAGACAGTTTCATTGGATCTTCCTACACATCCAGTGAGTCTTGCCTTGCCATGTTCAATAAGGTTGAATATGATATTTACCAAGATGATCAACTCGAATGCGCACGACTCCAAATTATTTCGATCTTTTAACAATAGACTACTTAAAACTTAAAAATGTCGGGGAGAATGTGATGAAATTGATCAATATTATTATTGTTTTATAATATTTCTTATTGTTTTAGGTAATAAAAAGTTAAAAAGAAATTATTCAGTTGTTGTCATTTATCCTTCGAGTCCACATCAAACTAAAACAATCTTTTAAATAATTTTACGCAGAATAATAACTACTTCATTTAATTTAAGTAGCCAGTTTATGTAGGTTATATATTTGGCTTAAAATTTTCAACTGAAAACAACAGTTTTAATGCAATGATTTTTTGCGTCCCGTAAGTAACACAGCATATAATCAACTATAATTTCTATGGTTATAATAATTGGACGAAACTTCAATATACAGGAAAACGAATAAATGGTTTTGGGATGATTCATATATAAACATATAATCTGTTAAAATAAGTAATAAAATGTGACATTATAAAAATCAAAATGTCCCGTAAGTAACAGTGGCATTGACCACCAACATAATTTACACCTTAATCTTCAATGATGTATCTTATCAGATACACTCACTATTCCTAATCTCTATATAAGATTACCACTTCTTTTCTTGTTTTTAGAGTTGCACCGCCTATCTATCTGATTGTTGCTTTTTCAATTCTTTCCAAATAGTGGACATCATTAAATGGACATAATCTTTATTGCATATGTTTCACTGCTACGCATCATTATATCTAGACTCACATAGCGTATATCTTTTCTTTAATCTTTTATGATACACATCTTGTTGTTAGAAGTGGATATATATATATATATATATATATATATATATATATATATATATATATATATATATATATATATATATATATATATATATATATATATATATAATTTTAAATGCATTCTATAAAATAGAGTGCTGAATGTTCTTAAAAGAACAGAGCAATGAATTAGTAGAAACTATATATGGTAGTATTTGATAGACATTATATCGAATAGTAATATATCGGTAGAAATATTCAATATACATATATATCAAATGTATAAATATTTAATAATGCTTAAGATATATATAGTGCTACTGTTATTATACCATATTAAAACAAATTAACATATTTAAAAACAAACAAATTTGGAAATCAAGTTGAAAAACTTTTTCCGTAATTCGTATAAGTTTTTCCAAGGAAGTTAAAATATTATGGGGAGTTAATTTGTTTCGCCGACAGGGGTTAATTTATTTCAAGGGGAGTTAATCTATTTCAAAATAGATTAACTCCCCAGATAACTTTTTACGCTACGGGAGTTAATTTATTATGGGGGTTAATTTATTTCATGACACCGGCAATGATCTTGACATGACCAAGAAATTCCTAATCGTGTTATTCTAATGAACCTACAAGACTTCAACCTAAAGTTTACTCAAATATTACACATTATTCATTTTAAATCTAGCAATGACCAGAACAAACCTATTAAATGTGCCATAAAAAAATAAAACTAAATAAAGGAATGACTAATGAAGAAAGGATTGAGTAAAGGAAAGAATGAATGAAGAAAGGAATGAATGAAGGAATGACTACATCATTAACTAGCAGTGTTTTGACCAAATAGTATATTCAAATATTCAAACTTGCACAATGGAACATACAAGCATAAAAAAAGAAAGACATTTCTGTTAATGCCACTCAAGGACTGAAACTACTATTGGTTAGTTTTTCACCTATAAAATAAGCGTATTCCATGCGGATGCCATAAAAAGCTTCTAAAAAAGCGAATGCCATGAAAAGCTTCTAAGGTTTCTACATAATGGTTTTAAAATTTACTAACAAAATGAAGTACTAAAACTAACAATATGGGTGAAAAAAATATTTAAGTTGTAACCTAGTTTTAAATTTTATGTTTGAAACGATTGTTTCAGCATCAATGCTTAACAGTGGCTAACTGGATCAGTCCCAAAATTTAAAAGTAACTAACAAGGTTGTACCCACCGTTACATTTTAAACCTTGTCACAGTGAAGATATGACTTTTTGGCATTGAAGACAAAATATACCGAATACATATTAACATATTTTTATGGTAATAACTTAATAAATTTTGAAATTGGTTTACTAAAAACTACTTAGGGTTGGTTTAAAAATTTTTGAAAATATTATTTTATTGCTTTTTTTTAAAGCACCTGTACCTTGTTTGAGAGTTAGCAGAAAAAAAAATAGACCCGACTTACAAAAATGTTATTTTCAAATTTTGTCGTCGTTGTTGTTGTTGTTGTTGTTGATGGCCAGTTTTATATAACTGATAAAGCAACAAGTTTTTTTTTTAAATTTACTTATCGATTCTTATAAATTAATGTTTGGTTTTAAAAAAGTATCTGGTTATGAAAATTATCAATAGTAATATTTTGTACCATTTAAAAATCATATACATAAAGTTACTTTGTAGCATTTAAAAGTCATATACATAGCATTATTTTGTACCATTTAAAAATCATATACATAAAATTACTTTGTACTGTTTAAAAATCATATACAAAGAATTATTTTATATAATTTAAAAATCATATACAAGTATTTACAAGTATTTACAAAATTAGTTACTAATCTATAATCAAAAGAAAATCAAATATAAAAAAGAGAATGAAAAGAACAATTTTTTCCGCTCGTTACTTAATAAAGCGTTCCATAATTTTGGACCTCTCATTATTTAATAAAGGGCTTCATAATTTGGGATTTCTGATGGCAATAGAAAACTTGGTAGCTGAATAGTGCATTTTTTTATGTAGTTTATAGTTGTTCTTTGAAAATCTTGTAGGGTACATGTGATTAATTTTATTATAAAATGTAATAAATATTATATGTGATATTTTATTATGAAGATTGGACATAAAAACTAAAATTTGATAAAGATTTAACTGAAAAACATTGAGTATGCAATAATTTTAAACAGTTAAATAAATTCTGACAGCGTGTTTTTGTCTACACAGTTTTTTTATATTACTTACATTTTACACAACTTTGCAAATATTGCTTGGTGAGCGACATCATTGTTTGCTATTTGTCTACAATTTTTAGGATTATTTCTGATTTGAAAATAGGTATGACCCTTTCAATTTTAAGTTTCTCAGATAAACACCTTGTTTTAAAGAGAGATTAAAAATATAGTAACATTATAACAATTTTAGAAATTAAAAATAGATAACATTTTAACGAGCAATATTTTCACCGATTTTAGGAATATTATTACCAAAAAAAGATCGTTAATTTTTGCTTTCTGCCTATATAAAAACATAGCTTTAAAAAGTAAATTTTATTTTCAATAAGTAAATTTCATTTAAATAAGAAAGTTAAAATGCTGCTTTTCTAGATTTTGTTTTTACAAAGCTGTCTATAGCATCTTCATAATTTATAGTTTTTGCATATATTATACAAATTTTATTTTTTCATTTATATAGTTTTATATATATAGTTCATTATACTTATGTTAAGTTGAATGAAATATTAAAAAATAAAAATAGAAACATAGTATTAGATAAGCTGCTTATATATTGCATATCTAAATCTGCTCTACACTAGCATAATATGCTTGATTATCAAGCTGATCAAAATATGAACAGTAGCTTACTACTTTTGCTAATGAGGTTTATATCAAGTAGGTTTTGTCTATAGAGGTTAAACAGGATCTTCTATCTTACCTAACCTAGTTGATGGAAGATTTTATAAATTATCAATAAAAAAAATACATGCTACTGAATATGCATAATATGAAAAGAACAAGGCTTATTATTTTTAACTAAAAATAAACGTTGAAAATAAACGTTAAATTAACGTTGAAAATAAACTTGAATTTAACGTTGAAATTACGTTGAAACAACGTTGAAATTTAGATATTAAAGTTTACCGACGCAAATGCACTAATAATTCGGTATTAAAATCTTCGATCATATAAACTCAGTTTATAAATAAATAAATAAAGATTTATTAGAACAAGTTTAAAATTTACATGTTCTAAAGGACATACAAGTCCAATAAATGGACAATATGCCCCTAAGATAACAAATTACATATGAAACAAATATAGTTTAAAATTAAAACTTTCAAACATTCATTCATTGACTTTATAGACACAGTGTTTATCGAAATTGCACAATTTTATTTTATTTTAAAAAATACAAATGTTATCAGCATTTACAGCTTCTGATGTCAGATTATTAAAGATATTTACAACTCGTTGAGGATAATAATATTTGTGAATGTCGAGTTGACATCGTTATTTGCGAACCTTATAAGTATGACCACGGGTATATTTATTATTGGTAATTTTGAAAAATAAACTTTTATTTATGCAAACCAAATTATGCATAACTTTGAAACATATAGCTAAATCATGTTTTAAATGTCTGAGCTCCAGAGAATCCAAACCAAGCAGCTGTAAACAGCTGCAATAGCTTAAACAACTAAGATTAGCAATTTTTTTTGTGATTTTTTTTTTGTATATTTTCAATAAATTTTTTTAAGATAGTTTGGTGTGGTGACCAAACTGGAGTACAATATTCAATAATTGGTCTTACATAAGTATTAAATGCACGAACTAATATACTAGGATTGCGAGTTTTAAAGCATTTTAAGATTAGGTATGCTCTAGTTTTTGGCTTTAAGAAGGCCTCTTGCGTTGAAAAGACGGAAAGAAAATATTTATTTGAATTTTTTTGTAAAGAAACGCTGACATTGTTATTAAAATGAAATTGTTTGATAGCTATGTTTTTTTGACTTATTTTTTCGTATTTAACTTTTTTGCTTTTTTGATAAATCGAGTTATTTTTGAAAGAAGATTTACTATTAATTGACATATTGTTAAAACTAACAGAACTTAATGATTCGTAACAGTTCAGATTTGATTTCCTGTTATTTGAAATTATCTCAATATGCCTCGGTCTATATCTCAATATGCCTATGTCCTCGCTATTTTTTTTTTTTTATTTTTTTTTTTTTTTCACAAAAAGTAAACTTAAGCGCGTAAACTTGCCTTTATTATATTAAATAAAACGTTTTAAAATACAAGATATAAAATCGTTTTAAAATACAAGATATAAAAAAAATTCATTTTCAACCATTTTGAAGTTTTTTAATTGAGCTGTTATATAAAAATCTCGCTCCATTCACCATCTTGCCCAGTTTTTCCCTAACTGTTTGCTAAAGCTATTTTAATAAATCGCATTTTAAATAAAACTATGGAAATTAACAGCTCTCATTAATAAAAAAAAATTGTGTTTATTAATGGAGAAAATTGTCAAAATTGCCACACAAAAATCTAAGCTACAAAAATATATATATTTTTTTTCAACTTTTTTAACTAAGTACTGTTTAACAAAACTAAAAGTAAATAAAATAAAAAAATTAAATAGAAAAATGTGGTTAATTTTCAAGCCGTGTTTGAAATTAAAAAAAATATGAAAGTAATGAAAATAATTTTTTATAAATTTTTTTTTGCAAAGTTAGAACCTGTGTCACTTATATTTAACCATTTTAAAAAATTAGTTGATTAAATCAAAAAGTTGGGTTTATTACTTAGAGCATTTTATCTGCAACAATGAAACCTTATAGGTTTATTTGATAACGAATTTATCATAGTGTTATGCATAACATTATTCTAAATGTTATGGAAAAAAAAAATTAATTTTAAACCTGTTTCAGCAGCAACAAATAAAGGGGTTCTTCCTTTATAATCTCTAGCACCAATGTCACCACCCATATGCAATATAATGCGAGTACTGTCAACAGCATTGTTCTTTGCCGCGTAATGAAGTGGTGTTTGATTTTCTCCAATTGTTTTTGCGTTAATAGAAGCTACATGAAAAATGAAATTTTTAGATAAACTACTTTCAAATTTTAGATCAAACTACTTTCTCTCTCTATATATATATATAAAAGAGAGATTTGAAAAGTAGTTTATACTACAAATAGCGTATCAATATAGCGTAGCATTATCAATATACAATATACAAAATATACAATATATAAGTATTTCAATATACAAAAAGTACGTACGCACTAATTTAAAAAATTATTCCAAGGTAATGTTTTTTTTTCTAATTTATCACAGTTAACTTGTACATTGTAAATAATTGTTATTTTAACAACATAAAAGGATGTATGCATAGAGACGAGAGTATAGTGTCCCCTTATGTTCATTTTTTTATATTATAAATATATATATTTAAATATATTTAATATATATATATATATATATATATATATATATATATATAAAATATATATATATATATATATATATATATATATATATATATATATATATATATATATATATATATATATATATATATATATATATATATATATATATATATATATAACAAATATATTATAAATATATATATTTTTTTTGTTTGTTTTTTCCTTGAATATTCAATACAGTTTATACAATAAGATAGTTAAGATAAAAATCGTTATACAATAAAAAGAAATATATACAAAAAAGGAACGCTGAGACTCGCAGAAGACCTTCAGGTCTTATCGTCGAGAACCGCTCGCGAATATTAAGTAGATTAAATTAAAATGAAGTATTAAATCAAAAAAACAAAACAATGTCGTAGTAAAAACTAGTATTAACTAGCGAGAACGTAAATTTCGTAATAATATATAAATAAAATTGGAACAAAGAAATTTTTGATACTCTTATATATAAATACAAAATATTTTAAAAAGTGTTGTTTTCATAAACAGATAAGTTGTGGATCATATATAATATTTATATATAACCTTATGTATTAAACTTCATATTCATTTTTAGAAGAAATTAAAAATATAAAAACATGTCTTGAAAAGATAAAACAATTTCTTTTAGTTTTTTCTTGAATGAAAGATAATTCCATTCATGGGAAAATTCAAAATTTTTTAAAACTATTTTGTTCCAAAGAAAAGCTTCTTGATATGAGATTCATGAATTTCCAAAATTAGTTAAAGGTAAAGGTTGCCGAGTTTGATTATCATTTCTTAATTTATATTTATTTTTATCTTTTAAGGTATATAGATTATGAAAAGAAACTGGAGATACGTTGGTTTTACACTTGAAAATAAAACAAAGCATATTAAAAATATTTAGCTGATAAGTATTAAGAATTTTCATTTGACATAATAATGGTTTGGCATGAGCAAATCGATCTTTATAATTCATAAGACGAGCAACATGCTTCTGCTGACGATAAAGAGGTAGTAGTTTAGATTTATTGCTATTACCCCAAGCAATATTTTTATAATTTATATGGCAATGGATTAAAGAGAAACTGTTAAACTGTTTATTTAAAGCATTTCTAGCTTTGTACATTACTCCTATATTTCGAGCAACTTTATTGCATAACAAATCAATGTGATACTTCCGGGGTTTTCATCAATATTTATTCCTAAATAGTTTATAGTTTGTTCTCTTTTTATTTAAACTTTGTCAATTAAAAGTATGGCATGACAGGAGATAGTAGCTTTTTTTTTGAAGTTTGATGAAAAATTATCCATTTAGTTTTCACAACATTTAGTGACAGCTTATTCATTTTAAACCAGTCAGAAACTTTTGTTAATTCAATGTTCATATTTTGGAATAATGTTGTTATGTTGTTATGAGATAAAAAAAAGATTTGTATCGTCGGCAAACATGACCGTCAATATATTTGAGACTTTGGGGAGATCATTAATGTAAATCAAAAAGAGAAAGTTCCTAGTACAGAACCTTATAGGACCCCACATGTTAAATCGAATTGGAAGAGACAGTTGTATTACTGTAAACAAACTCTTTACGGTTGCTTAAATAACATTTAAGAATAATTATAATATTTCCTCTAATTCTATAATACTCTATTTTTTTAAATAGGAATTTTGTGGTCAATAGTATCAAAGGCTTTCGACATATCTATGAAAACAGCTAACGTGTATTGAGATTTTTCAAAAGATTCATCAATATTGCGGGTAGTTTGGAGTATAGCGTGTTCGGTTGAATTTTTTTTTTTAAATCCGTATTGATTTTGATACAGTATATTATTTGAAGATAAATGATTGGAAATTTCATTATATAAAGTTCTCTCTAAAATTTTAGAAAAAACAGGCAAAATTAAAATTGGGCGATAATTTGAAACAATGGTTGCATCACCCCTTTAAATATTGGTGAAACTCTGTCTATTTTTAGATTGTCGGGGAAACTACCCTGTTTTATTGAACATTTTAAAATTTGAAATAGAATATCTTTAATGACTTTGTTCGAGTCGATAATAACATTGCAATAAATATCATTATGACATGAACTTATAAGATTTAAGCTTTTTAAAAGAAAGTTCAAATTCCTCAAAAGATAACTCAAAGGAGTTTAAGAACGAAGTTATTTGCATAATTATTCATTTTGTTTTTTAAAAGCATAATTATTCATTTTGTTTTTCAAGATAGGAATTTGTTGGACCAGATTAGGACCAACTGATACAAAATATTTATTTAATTTTTCAGCTACTGCAATTTGATCATATGATGTTTCTTCGTTAATTTTAACAGCTTTAGGCAATGCGCTCGTTTTTATTTTCTGCATGCCAGTGATTAAATATATTTCATGGACTTTTCTGTAAGACTCTTCCATAAAATATGTACGCCAAAAGTAAAGAAATTTGACCCCTTTCCCCTGTTGCCATGCATAATTGTCCCAACCCCCCTTAAAAAGTACGTACGTTTTTCATACACCCTCCCCCCCTCCAACTTTTTTTTTCAATAAAAAAGTTTATTGAAAAGAAAAGGTGAAGAAGATACCTTTGATACTTCATACCACCCCAAACCCCATTGTTTGCGGCACATGATCCCAGTTTAAATAATATCTTCAAATATATACAAATATAAACTTAAATAAGTTAAATTACATATTGTTATCAGGTTAATGTTATTAAAAAATATGGCGGAGATCGGAGTTTGATTCCCAATCAAGTCATATTGTACTTTTTTTTGTTTTAATGACAAGTCAAATAAAAATAAACTATACTTAAACCGGACAACTTTTTCAGGAACCTCTCTTTAAAAACGAGTCTTACGCGGGATCAGTGATATTGAAAACAAAGCCTAAGACCCAGTGCCGAGGATAGGCTACCCTTACCACTTAATTGAAAGGGAGGGGGGAGGGAGAAAAGCAGCAAATTTTGTGCCCTTTTGTAACATTATCATGCAAAAATCCACAAAATGTATCATCAAATTTTTTTGTATCCCTAATTCATTCAAGAACGTACTTAAAGAACTAATACAATCTCTGGTTCTGCTATAAATTGTAAATTCTATGATGTTATTGACTTTAATAAAGCTATCAAACCTATTACAGAAAATTTTCACAACTCACCTTAACATTGCATCACTTCCATATCACATTGATAATCTGTGCAGTCTTATCAGCACATTAAATATCATACCTATGGCAATTGGGATTACTAAATCCAACTGATACCTTAATGATACCAATATAACAGACATAACTATTAATGGATTCAATATTGAGCATTGCCCCACTGAGGCCAAAAAAGGTGGTGCTCTTTTAAATCTGCAGTCTAATTTAAATTATGTAGTTCGTCATGACTTAAAGCTTTACTTACCAAAATTACTTGAGTCTGTTTTTGTTGATATCATTAAGCCCCACAAAATAAATGTCCTAATTGGTTGTATATATTGTCATTCATGAATGAACCAAAATAAATCAAATAAAACATTTATAACTCCACTTCTTGAAAAGTTAAAAAAGAAACAAAAATTGATCTTTTTAATGCGTGATTTCAATTCAAATTTACTGAGTTATAGTGAATCTAATCCTATTTCCAACTACCTTGATACCTTATAATCTTACTCGTTTAATCCTACCAAAATGCTACCTACTCGTATAACAGCTAAATCTCAAACACTCATTGATAACATTTTTATGAACTTCTACTCTTCTGATCATATCTCAGGTAACTTAACTATTTCTATCTCGGATCACACAGCACAATTTGTCTATGTTCCTGGCACATCCAGCCAACCAAATAAAGTTAAAATTTCTTGACGATGTCTAAAAAACTTTGACCCTAACAAATTTATACTATAAATTTCTATACAATTTTTTAAAAAATTTTAAACGCCTGTACCAACATTAATATGGATTTCGAAGCAGACATTCCACAACCCTCACACTTATTGAAACTACTGAGAAGATTAGATGAGCTCTAGATAATAACCACTTTGCATGTAGGGTGTTTATAGATTTGAAAATAGTTTTTGATACTGTGGATCACTTTATTCTTTTCACAAAATTGAAATACTATGGAACCGGAGACATCCCGCCAAAATGGCAATAAAACTCAGCAGATCTAATAGAATGTTTGCCAAAGAATTTGAGCGTTTTAGGACTTCTTTTGTTCTCAGTCTTCGGCCATCCCAATTTTTTGCAAGGCCTCCTCATTTGGAGGCCTTGCAAAACACAAATTTTACATATACCAACTTTTTGTTAAAACTTTTTTAAAAAAAAATTTTCCAATATGACACACCCTATTCAAACAATTAGTGTGTATTTACTAACTTGCTGGATGCTTGAATTATTCTCTTCAATTTGTGATTAGAAAAGGAGTTAAACTTTTTATATCTCAGTAGAAAAATATCAAAAGCATTGTACTCATTCTTCATAAAACTTATTATATTTTGAGCTCTACAAACAACAAGAAATTTAAATAAAAAATTTCTACAAGCATATACTCAAAAATGATGATCCAAAATAGTGGAATCAGACTTATTACATACTTGAAAGAGTAGCTACTAAAGTAACTGTTTCTCATCGTTAAAATTTTTGAGTAACATGTTATACATTTTCTTTAACTATGCTACGTACTGATTGTAAAATATATGCCAATTGTGATTTTATGTTATTTTTTTTGACATTAATCTGATGAAGGCTTGTTTTGCTTTCACTCAAATTTTAGTTTCGGTTTCGGTTTTACTAAACCAAAAGTATGGTACTTTTGATTTTGGTAGAAACTTTAATTTCAGTTTTCCCTCGAGTAGACCATTGGTAAGCAGCGTTATAATCAACTTTAGTCTATCAGTTTAGCTAAATTACTAAAGCTAATTAAATACCTTGAAAAAAGCTATAACATAAATATATTTAAAATAAGTTATGACTCAAAATTTTAAATTAATAACTTACTAATAAGTTTTTATAAAATAGTTTAGTAACATTGGTCCCTGACTTCATAACTGCAACTTCTAATTTTTAAACCTGATCGTAATCTTAACTTTGATTCTAATCCTGATTATAACACTATCTTGATCTTAACGCTGACCTTGTGTTTTTGCATTGCTTAGTTCTTTTTAAATTTTCTTAGTTATTTAAATTATAACACCCAACGGTGTTATAATTTAAATAACAATTTTTATTATTCAAAGTTGGTAAACTAGAAGTCGGACAAATACGTGCTTTATTAATTGTGCCGAGAAAAAAAACTTAGCTGGAGAAAGGTCTGTCGGGAAGTTTTCTGTCGGGAAAATGACAGTAAATATTGAAAAATGTATGCCGGATACCAACTAAAAAGCGGAAAAAAGTGATTTAATAATAAAAAATGTTTTAAAAGTCTTTTAACCAGGTTCTAAGATTTATCAATAACATTTTTTTACGTTTCAAAGCTATTACCTTAAAAACTTAATTTTCCCTCCTCTCTCGTCATAAATAAGACGGATTAAATTTAATTTTTTCAAAATTTACAGACACTAAAAATAAGTTTACTACTGTGCTACCAATGACTTGCATTATCACCCATGGTTTAAAATTATCACCTATAATCTGAGTTTATCATTCATGAAATAATGGGCGAACACTTATGAGATAAACTTAACCACTTAGAAATATAAATATATAAAATATATTCATTTTTAAATAAATTTTCATACCACCATTTGTTATAAGCCACTCAACCATTTCATAATGATTTACTGCCGAGGCTAAATGCAACGGTGTTCTTCCGTATTTATCTTCTTTATTTAAATCAGCACCCTTTTTAAAAACATACTTTGCGGACTCTATATTCCAATCTCTAACTATTTCATGAATTACTGATTGACCATACTTGTCAGAAAAGTTTATATCAGCGCCGCTTCCTAACAACGATTCAACAAAATCTAAATCAATTGCGCTATCTTCCGAAGAATGGCCAAGTTTTGAAAAATAAGTTAGTAATCCTTTGCATCCAGCTTTAGAAATTTTACTGTCAAAGTTTCTAAAATCAATATCTTCCAGGTCACTGTCTAAACACCCGGGTGTAGACACTTCAGTCTTAGTTGAAATAGATGCATCTTTTATCGGAGAAGGTCCAATTCGGTGACTTGTTGTTTTATTTACAGGCTCTTTACGCTTGGTATCTCCAGATCCAAGTCGCTTCTCAATCAAGGTGTTAAATTTTATTTCTTCTGTTTTTGATACGGAAGCGCTGGGAGAAGTTGGTGTTTTTGACATTTTTTTAAAATTTATTAACACACAAAAATAACTTGCCAGTAAATTACATTATACGAATATATTTATATATGTATATATATAAAAATAAGTATTATTGATCTTCAATATAACTTAAATGTTTCAATTTTTTTTTAATCTATACTTTAAAAAAAACAAAAAAAAACAGATTTTAAATCATTTAAAAGCAAACGTAAATATCTAACATAAAATCAGTTAAAGTTACTAAACATACAATATATAATGTTATAATATACAATATATCAAAATCAAAAGTAACCAAACCATAAATTTATCTAAAAGCTTTTTGGTCGTACACATCTAAACAATTTATCATCAAAGTTTACTAGCAACATGCATTTTGATTTGTATACTAAGATATTACCATTGAAAATGTTAATCGGATATATGCGATAAATAAAGAATACAATACTTCATTACATTGTATATCCTGAGTTATTTGATAATTCAGATAAGAAATGACTTTGCGGACAGCTACTCATATGAATTACTGACATAAAAAATTAGCATACAAATGATATTAGCATAAAATAATTTTTTTTTAAAATGATAGAAAATAGAGTAGTTAGTGTTTGAATTGTAAACTCTGTAATTATTTTTGACAGCAAGGTTTCAAACTATTGCGCTTTTTTATTATTATTTGCTGACTTTTCTTTTTTTGCTATATTATGCGGTTCGGCACCGTTTTTTAGGCGAATATATATTTATACTTTTATTATTTGCAATTTAATTATAGTTGACACTTTTACATTCAAAATAAGTAGCTCTATATTAGGCTAATTAAAGTAAACTCAAACAATTATAAAAAAAATAAAGAAAATACTTAATAAATCAATAGCAAAAATTTAATCATTTAATTATTATAAGTTCTTACTAATTGTGGCAACAATTTTTAGAAAAAAAATTTTAATCTCTAGAATCTATCGCCATTATCTCTAGAATCTATCGCCATTAAGTTGACTAAACAGGTTTATCTTATTTTCTGTCTGTTGAAAGGTAGCATATGTGATTCCAATTTTAAAAAAATCTGAGTAGCAACATTATATTATAAACATTAGCATATTTATATTATTGTTTAATATATATATATATATATATATATATATATATATATATATATATATATATATATATATATATATATATATATATATATATATATATATATATATATATATATATATATATATATATATATATATATATATATATATATATATATATATATATATATATATATATATATATATATATATATGCATATATAAGCTATGATGTAAACGCATCAGAGCTTAAAAAATGTTTGTATGGCTTATGAGTTGCTTTAAAAACACCACTTTAAAAAAAACGTTAAAAAATTGTACATTTTAAACTACATTGTATCATCTATTTGTTCTTCTCTATACTATCTTTCTATCACAGCAACTTTTTTTTATTACTTCTTTTCTTCTACAAACTCACTAACTCTTCTTCCGTTTAAATGTGAGCTAAACTTGTCTTTGCGGATAATGTTATGTGGAATCTGTATGGTGTGTGGCCGGAAAAAGATAAGCCACAAACTTAAAAAATGATAAAATATTTATAAATACCAATTTCGAATAATGTTAATAACCGTCTAAGTAACCACAAAGACTACTTAGCTATTATTTATAAGCATGTCATAGGGGGTTTGAGTTACAACTTTAGTTTTTAAAGTTAACAATATAAAAGTGTTTTTAACAGCTCTAGATATTTGGGTAAAAACAGGATATTTTTGATGTTCTTGCTCTAAAAAATCTTATCTGCAGAGTAGTAATGGTTGAAACTATCCGTAATGTTTATTACTTGTGTTTACCCTTTCGAGTTGCAACATGTTGACTGTTTATTATTGGGATTACAGCGTTATTAGCAAATCAAATTGCCTCTCTATGTTTAGAAAAAAAAACTTTGAGCAAAAAATAAATTAAAACTTTATTTAAAAATAAGGTAAATAAGAGGACTTAATTTGCTCTGCTGTGATTTTTTATGTTTGATTTAAAAAGACGAGTTGGCAATTAGGGTTGAAAATTTTCCGGAAATTTTGAATTCGGGAAAGTTTCCGGAAAATTTCCGGAAAATTTGGAAATTTTTTTAAAAAGATAAGTTATTTTATAATTAAAAGGTAAAATTTTATGTCTTTTTTCGGCAGTTGTTATGGACAATTTTATGGTAAAATATTGTGAAGCAAATTATAAAAATTTTATGGTAAAATATTGTGAAGTAGATTATAAAAAACAAAGCCCCAATTGAAAAATACTTTTTTTGGTATTTTGTTCTTTTTTTTGGTATTTTGGTGAGTTTTTTTATTATAACTTTAAGTAGCAACTATGATTTATGAGTTTATTTTCAAAATTTTCTAAAACTGTTTTATACTTTTATTTGTTAAGCATATTGATGTTATTACCGTGTTTTAAAACTTTTTCTTGATTTTAAGACATTATTAAATAAATGAAAGGCAAAAAGTAAATAAAAATTTTAATTTGAACTTTTCTCAAATATTGTCATCAATAAAAATGAAGAATTAATGATTTCGCCTCTATATTCAAACAAGTGCTTTTAAGACTTAACTCTCACTCACCACAACCTTGCTCGGGTACTTTCGATTTTATAAAAGAATAAATTAAAAAATGAGGGGCGGGGTGAATACGTAAAAAGTAACGACTGGTTTCTTAAAAATAAAAACAAGTTTCTTAAAAACTAGGACTCACCCGACTGAATTGCGCCAAATACTCGACTAGCCAACTAAATTCATCAAAAACCAACTATGACTTAAAAATCACCTTCTTTGTGGGGGTAGATCCTTCCCCTACACACCCTTCCCCTAAAATCATCTTTGTGTACAATCTTTACACATAAAAAGTCCTTGTTTTTTTAAAAATCTTTACAAAAATAATACAAAACAAGACTTAATAATCTAAAAAAATTTTGTTCTTTGTATTTTATGACTATTTTGTATTGTAGTTGAGAAAAGTAAAAGCTAGAAATATGTTATACACAAGCTAAAATGACAAAACAATTCCTAACTCGGAAAACATCTACTTTTTGTTGTTTTACAAAAGTAATGTAAGTAAAAGTAACATTTAACAACTTGAGCGTTTTGTTGCTTTTTTAAAAAACGCGCTATTCTTAAACTATCTATAAAAATGTGACTAAAAGATGTGGATTTTTCGCTTGTGGGTCCTTTATATTTTTTGTTGAAATATTCAAAGTATGCCCAAATCCTACCATGATAAAACGCATATTTTTAAAACAAAGAAATAAATTTTATAAAACTATATAATAACTATAAGTTTATAACAAAAAAAATTTTTTCAACCCTCTGACAATTATATATTAATGCATAAATGTGCACGTCCCTATTAATTCAGATAGAAAATATAGGCGGTTTTATTTTTTTGCGGAAGTCGCATTTAAATATTGGAAAAATATCTTACATGAACATTAATTAATAAACAATAATAATAAATGTTTGCAATCTGATTTGCTTTTTATAAAACAAAAATTACACACTTCAATAAAAAAAAACACTCAGTAGAATTTTTATATTTTTATATGTACATTTACAAAATAAACTAAATACAATTTTAAAAATGCAAACATATAAAATATAATCAAACATTTAATAACAAACAAACTATTAGCAAAGGAACAGCATGGCTTTCTGAAAGGTAAGAGCTGCAAAATGAATTTACTAAAATTTCTTGACACCTTAACGTTTCTTTGACATTTTCATTTGACAAAAATTTCATTTGACAAAATTTCTTGACACCTTAACGCATTATAAAGTGGTATTCCAATTGACGTTTTGTATACCGACTTTCGAAAAACATTCGACAGAGTATCACACATAAAATTATGTGCAAAGCTTTATGCTTCCGGTTTTGTTGGTATGCCTTTTAAATAGAATGAATCATTCTTATCTATTCGAAAATAACAAGTAGTGATGAAAAAATGCAAGGCAAATTGGTGTCGATATGTTAAGTACCACAGGGTTCTGTACTCGGCCCACTCCTTTTCTTGATATTCATAAACGATTTATCAAGAAAACTTCTTAATAAATTTTGTTTTCGATAGGAATGTTTCGATAGAATAGTTTCGATAGAAATTTTTCGATAGAAATGTTTCGATAGAAATGTTTCGATAGAAATGTTTCGATAGAAATGTTTCGATAGAAATTTTTCGATAGAAATGTTTCGATAGAAATGTTTCGATAGAAATGTTTCGATAGAAATGTTTCGATAGAAATGTTTTGATAGAAATGTTTCGATAGAAATGTTTCGATAGAAATGTTTTGATAGAAATGCTTATGATAGAAATGTACCAGATATTGTCAACATTAACACTTTCAAAAAAAAAACTTGACAGATTTTAGGCTCACTTTCAGAAAAAACTGTATGATCGGTACTTCTGTTTCTCGCTTGGGAATGTTATTAACTCAATGTGCAGACTATTTTATTTATTTTTGATTTTTGTTTGGTAATCCTCTATACTGGATCTGCCATAGCAGGGATTGGTTGTTTCCCAGCTTCACGGATTTTTCCGTTGTAGATTAAATTTAAATAAAATAAATAAATGCCGATGAAAACAAAATAATCGTTCCTATTTATACCGAGGTATAAATAGGAACGGTTGAATGGATACTGGGTTTGAATTTTGAAAAATGTAAAATAATGCATTTTGGTGCAAGTAATAAAAGATATTCTTATTTCATGAAAAATGATGGTGAACTAAAAGAAATTGAAAAACCTATTCTCGAAAAAGATTTAGGTATTTATATATTGAAGGATTTGAAATTGAAAAGACAAGTAAGGAGTTAGCCAATAACGCAACAATATGCTTGCAATATTAAATAATACTTTTAGGTATAACGATAAATACCTCATGAAAATGCTTTATTGCAGTTACGTTAGAACTCAGTTTGCGATTCAAGCTTGGAATCTCTATTATAAAAAAGATATCAAAAAACTTGAAAAAGTTCAAAGAAAAGTAACTAAACTGATACCAGAATTAAGACATCTGTGATGTAATCAAAGACTAAAAATATTAGATTTAACAACTTTAGAAGTTCAAAGACTAAAAAGTGACTATACAACAATATAAATT